TGTTGATCTACTCGATAACATTGGAAGAGTATGTGGGATACTCGTGACAGAATCACCTATGTGAGAGAGAAGAGGGCCGCTTCAAAGGAGAACTGTAAAGGCTCAGTTCTTTAGAAACTCTTGCAGAACTAGGACGGTGACCGATGGCCAAAACGGGTACACCCATGAGAACGGAACAAAGTTGGAAGGTTCTTGTGTAAAGATAAGTCAATGTTTACACGACGGCGGTATAGTTCAAGGACATCGAGTATACTAGACAGCCAGTAAATAAACGTGTCTTTACAACGGAAGGTTCAAAGGATAAAACCTACCTCTCCGTATGCAAGGATCATCCGGTGAACACAACGTGCCCTCCTATCTTCGTGTCTTTTTAAGTCTCGAAAATCAATTTTCATTCATTTGGGGGATTGTTGGAAAAATGTGTTAAAAATTGCATTAAATGGTCATTTTGGGGCAATTATTTGAGTGGGGTCCATTTCCGATTTGGGTCGGGTTAAAGTGGTTTCGGATTGTCCTTATTAAGGGCTACAATTCGATATATGATACGCTCAAAACGGATAACGGGTGAATGAGAAATTGATTCTCGAAGTTCACTCGTTGAAATGAAAAAACTGGGAAAATGATGAGTTTCTAGTGTGTTTTATCTCACATCGGAAAACTCAAGGGATTTTCACCCCCTTATAAAGGGAAGCCTCTTTTAAGGAGTTAAGATTCCTAAAGGTAAAGGCTCTCTCTTACGCGCAGGGGGGTGCCGATCAAATCCCGAAACGGAGAAGAAAAACCTCGACTCGTGTGTGCGGGCGACCTGCGGACACGAATGCCGTCCGAAAAATCCATCATTCAAAGATACGGTCTAATTTTTTTGGGAGACCCTCGAGGTCTTCTGTTCGCAACAGAGATTGTTCGCAACAGAATTAGTCATCGTATCCTGGGAAACGATTGTTGCAACGCTCCTAGCACCGTGGGAGGCAACAAATACGTTTTAAGGACATCGTGTGTAGCACGAGTTTTGACTAATTCTGCCTCATCTTCTTTCTTGTTTTTCTCTAGTCATTTTATTTAATTAATTTATTTTAATTAATTTCCTTTATTTTCCGAAACACACCCAACATAAAGGACACGTTAGTCACTCACTTCCAAGGACATACCGAGACAACAAGAGGCCTGGAGAAATAATGTTCTATGGGAAGACTGTCAGGAGTCAGGTCTATGAATTGTTGAGGCAGAAAGGTTCGAAGTGGCCATGGATTCCATTTATTTGGGGAAAAGGGGTAAATAAGTCCACGTACTAACAAAAAAAGGTCAAATAAACCTTTATATAGGAGGCTGTGTCCGGTCGTCATCATATGGGGCGGTTCCCGGTTGAAATTTTTTATGCAATTTTTTGAGCATATTATTCATTAAGTCTAGTTTACTCATACCAAATTTCAGCTAAAACTTTAATCCGGAAGGCATTCAAATGAATTCTTGAAGATAACTGCGCAGTTAAAAACGCAGTTATCTTCAAGAATTTATTTGAATGCCTTCCCAATTGAATTGTTAGCTAAAATTTAGTATGAATAAACCAGACTTGATGAATACAATTCTCAAAAAATTTCATAAAAAAATTCCATCATAAACTGTCCCCAATGACGACGATCGGACAGAGACTCCTATATAAGGATTTCTTTGACCTTTTTTGGTTAGTACGTGGACTTATTTGCCCCTTTTTCTTTTATTTGGAGACACTTGATACCACCTAAATTCTCGTTTATTACATGACTGGTCTTCTGAAATAGGCTGTGGCCCACCTCTTCTTTGATTGTTCATTTTCTGTAGGCTGGATATCCGTGGGTGGCTGGGCATTCGAAAGGAAATGAACATCATATCTAGCTCAATCAAGTTGATTAGAAAGGAACATCGGGGAGTACGTGTGCGCAACAAGGCCATCTCCATTGCTTTCTGCTGCACCATTTATTTGATCCGGAAAACACTGAACTATACTCCCTCCGTCCCTTAAAACTTTGCTATCTTTCATTTTTGGGACGTCTCAAAAAACTTTGTCACTTTTCCTTTTAACCAATTATTTTGTGGTTTTTTGTTCTTTCTCTCTCCTCTACACAAATCTCAACCACACAGTTTTAACTTTATTATTCTCCGTGTTGGTCAACTTTGGCAAAGTTTTAAGGGACGGGGTAGTACGTACTTTGACCATGTCAGATTCCATCCCGAGGAGGGAGTGGCCAAAATCAAAGTGGTGGTTTATAGGATATTGTTCAGTTTTAATTCTAACGCTACCGTAGATTTTTAGTACCTGTTTTTTGATAATTTATGTATTCGTTTTCCTTGATTATGGATGGGTTGTTGTTGTTGTTTGGTTGTTTGATGTTGGGAGAATTTTGTAGTATCTTGGAAGTGTCTTTTACAGTGAGGGGCTTGTCCCAAGCTGTTTGTTTTGCTTCCAGCATGCATTTTGATGTTATTTTATTTTCTTTGGACAGGGGTATGCCCCGAAGGTTTTGTACTAGTATTTTTGAATGAGCGAGTTAACATATACTCCAGTACATTTTACTCGTTGCTTCATCGTGTAGCTTTTTGTTGTGTTGTATATGTTGCTCTTTGTTTCATTTTGTTGTATGATGTTGATTTTTGTTTACTATTTTGAACTTTTGGTTTTATTTTTGTTTTTTCATGTTTATTTATGTTTCACCTTTTATTTTTACTTTGTTTTGTTCCGGAAGTGAGCAATTTGAGTCTAGAGGGATTTAAATAGTCACATTGCTATAAATTGCTTTCTTTTTCAGTTCACTAGTAAATGCCTCAAAAACAAATCTATTTATATCCTTTTTAATAATGTTATATTATAAATAAAATTCTGGTTATTAATGTAGACAATAAGTTTAAATATTTATTTATTGGATATCATATACGGAGTATGTTACTTTTTTTGTTAATTTTTGTTTCATTGTGTAACTTTTTGTTGCATATTATGTGTTGCTTTTTGTTATATCATGTTGTTTTCTGTTTAATATTCTGAACTTTTAGTTTATTTTTGTTTTCAATATGTTTACGTATAAATTTCAACTTGTTTTTTTTGTTTTTTTTTGTCTACCATAACTCTTTATACATATATGTGTGAGTGCCTGTCAATCTATGCATAAGTGTACGTATGTAATCACACATATAGAGCCCGTTTGGTGACCCCTTTTTTCGGCTTATCAGGCTTATCAGCCAGTTTTTTCACCAAACACTTAACTTTTGATTTCGCGCGTTGAATTTTGCAATAAGCTGAAAAAGTAAGGTTAGAGTTACGTTTATGGTTGTATTGGCTGAAGTTACTGTAGAGGATCATTTTTTCTATTTTTCATATAATTTTTTGTTTAATTTATTAATAACAAATATTTTAAACATAATTTTTTCATAAATCAGCAAAATCAGCCAATACTGCCACTTCAGCCAGAACATCATAAATTTCAGCAGAATCAGCCAATTCAGCCAATTTTAATGTTACCAAACGGGCTCATAATGATAAAACTAGACTTGTAAATAAAAAAATATAAATAAACATTAAATAAAAAATTGGTAATTTATCAACAAAAAAACTCAATGAAACAACATGCAACAAAATAACCATAATATGCCTTTGTAATAATAAGTATTTTTTGTAATAACAGAATTTATACTTCGTACTATTTACATTTTTACAATTTTACAAATTTCTATATTTTATTTATTTTGGCTTTTGCAAATTTTATCTAAGAGAATTCATTTTTTGTATTTTTCTAAACCACTTTGCACTCCCTTTAGTGATTGTTTAAGTTTTTTGATATTTCATTTTTTTCTTATTTTTTTTCTATGTTTATGTATTTACTTGCATTTTAAGATTCTCCAAATTTTTAGTTTTAAAAATTTTACTATTTTAAAAAGATCTAATTATTTTTTATATTTCTAAATTTAAATTTTGTTTAATATTTCTTTTGTTAAAATTACACGTTTTAAAGTTTTCAGAAAATTTTCTTTCCTTAATATTTATATATTTTCCTTTTCCGTTTTCCTTTTCACTAAGAAATTTATAAAATTTCGAATTTTTATAATGATATATATAAATTACCGAGTATATAGAAATAATCGCACTAAGTATTTTTTAAATCTCCCACATTCTAAACTATTTTTGAAAAAAAAAATTATCTCGACTTTTATATTTCAAATTTTTTGTACTTTTGTTTATATTTTCCTGATTTAATATTTAAAATCTAAACTCATTTTTTATTTTTTTATATTCAATTTACAAGCTCCCAACTTTGAATTTTTTATTGTGTAGAAAATTTGGAGTATTAGTTTTTTTCTCTAGAAAGTTTTCCAGTTGTTTTCTTCTTTTTACGTTTAACTAATTTTTTTTATTTTCTATTTTCCTTTAATTCTTCGAGTTTGTATTTTCTTTTGAAAGGGATTCTTAGAATTTGTATTGGAATAACAAAGATTGTGGGTGTAGACTATAGAGTTGCTCACGTGCACTTGAGTGTAGATTTCCCAAGAAAAGAGTGTCCCTAAAGCTTCAGAAGGAAGGCCTCCAAAGTCGACTGAGCCAGAGTGCAGTTGCTTCTCTTGTCAACATTTCACACTGGGCGAGACACAACTTTGACCATTAATATAAATGATTTTATATTAGTAAAAAAATTAGATTATGAAAATTTACAATGAGACAAGTTTAACAATATTTTTTTCATAAAATAATATTATTACATTAATAAATAAAACATAGTCTAAGTAGAACATGTAAATAGTGTAAAAGTCAAAGTGTTGCATTTATTTAAGAACGGGGTAGTAGTTAGTCTATTTTTGAAAGATGTTTTGAAAAGTGAAAAAATTGATATTATTTTCACTTTTTAGTTTACTTGTGAAAAATTCCCTCAATGAAATGGTGCACTTCCACAGTTCCACTCCAAGATGGCCCATGTTTAATTAGGGATGGACCAAGTAGATCATATCATCATATGGTATTCCACAAACCTGAGTTAATAGCTAGATGAAATAAATATTTTTATCAAGACTAGTATTTCTTTGTAACCAATCAGAGGGCGCTTAAGAAGGCGCCTAATAAAAGGCTAAACAATTTATGACTAATCTAAAACATTAACCAATATAATTTGTGGATTTTTGTAATAAACATTGGGCACTAACACTGATGAATTACAAATCATATATATATAAATAAAAAAATGGAAGTATGAGTGGAACAATATTTTCTTTAGAAGAAAAGCCCTGTATAAAACAACTGATTCCAAGTATCAGGCAAGCCAGGGAGGCACCAATGGCTACAATCAGATGAGTGGTTAGGATTAGCCCTTTGGGCTGGAGTGAGATCTCCACTGTATATGGAAGGATGCGCATCTTTCCTCATAGCTGATAGAAGTGTTATGTTAAGAAGGGAAGGAGGATTGCTCATCTTCCCTAGCACTGCTTGGATCACCTTCATTTGTTCAGGGTACGTCCCGGGGTACGCCCCACCGTTTAACGTCGGGGATGTCTCACCGTAACAGCTCTTTGACAACGTCACCGTCTCCGAACTCCATTCATGAGGGCTGTCGATCAAAACCCATTTCGTTAACATCCAGAGCTTGGAAATGCTTGAAGTACAAACACAACTTTATAGTATGTAGATAATGTGATTCATACAATCGCTATTGATTTAAAGTTGGTGTAACGTGTCAAAAAATATATTTGTTGCTACATGTAAGTTTTAGAACACAGTGTACTACTTTGTTTCTATGAGTTTTATACTCCCTTAACTTATAGAGACTTTTATTAGTGATCCAAAAAAATTGTTCATAGTAATGATGCTTTATTTGGAGTAAAGAGACTTTTATTAGTGATCCAAATAATAGAGTTAAGAGAAAGTTTTGTGGACAGATTTATACGAAGTACTGCGTATTTAACTTACCCAGATAATACTTTAGTCAAGTATAAATACTCTTCACTTTAATCTAATTCATAATTTTGGATCCGCCCTTAGGCGCTTGCCTACCAGTTGGGCTGGTGCCTCACGTATTAACACAGTGATCTTTGATAGATAATTAAATCCCTCTAAAACTTTTATTTATCTAAAACACTCTAAGATCAAGTACTCAAGAAAACTTTCCGTAATATTTGTCAAAAATGACCAACAAATAGATTTAGAGAAAATCTATTTATTGATACCAAAATAAAAAATCGTCAAAAACATCTCTTTTTACGGAAGAAATATAAAAGAGAGGGAGCATATTCCTATAATGTATTACTCCCTCTGCCCCCATCTTTCCTTTCTGATCCAATCCAATAAGATTGTCTTATATCAAATTTGGTAAAATTAGTGGAACGGAGGTAATATGATTAATAGTATGTAATTATGCAATACCTAACAGAAAGTTTCTTTAAAATGTATTAGAACAATACTACGTATGAATTTGGTGCATGTAAGATGTTGCATTCATAGATATGGGGTTGTGAAAAATGTCAACCTAACAATTATATACTTCGTATTAGAAAGGAGTGGAGGAGGTAAATTGAACTTTAATCACAAGTTCTCTCACAAGTTACCCAATTATTAAGTGACCAAATAAGTGAAGTGAAGGCTCTTCAATTTGGAGTGTAAATCTTTTTGTACAATGGAGTGTAAATCTTTTTGTACTCTAAAGTGGGTGTGCCACCGACAAGGTGGATTTGGCAAATCTAATGTACTTTGCATTATATATATACTCAGTATATAAAGAAACATGAACAGAAGTAAAAAAAAAAACAGAAGAAAAAATAGGTCCAAATTTTTTCTTTATATATAGTGTGAGTAGAGTTCTTTTTTATCCTTAAGTTCAATTAATTAGGTCTAATGATTAATTTTATATAAATTTGAACATTTAAAACATAAAGTTAAACAGAGTCAAGTTTAAAACGGAATATATACATTAATTTTTAGCATGACCGGTTGTAGTTTTTAAAAGCAATACAATGGTTGATGCATAAATAAAAAACACATCTCTCTAGTCCTAACATCTTTTTAGCTTTTAAGATTTTTTATTCAATTTAATTATAACATAACAAATTTATATAATTATTTTAGAGCCCGTTTCTCTCAAATCTCACCCCAATTCATTTGTTTCCAAATATTAGTAAGCTATATTTGAGTTTCTAATAGTTGTTTTAGAGGACGTCAAATTTGAAATCTTCTCGCGCAAGTCCTCTGACATCCAAACATTTTGTCTCTTTGAAAACCTCCATTCTTTCGAGACTCAAACTTCAGACTCTCATCAGCGATCAATAAATCATTCTCAACTTATGAATTCAATATGTACTAATATTTCTTCTCAAATCCTTTCACAAGAAAATTTAGTATTGTTATATGTTCCGACAATTTTATTGTTTGTCATATATATTAGCGGAAAGAAGATTGTCTATGAAGCAATTATTGATGATTTGCTTCATATTGTTCTACGGGAAACATTTTTAAGTAATGTTTTTTATTTCTATTCGATAATCGTGTTATTACTTTTGTCCAAATATGTAACTAAATAATAATAAAGTGATTCTCTCCTTTATTCTATGAACTTCATTGTCTAAATATGATTTACTGTTTGTCATGGATATAAGCCCAAAATAGCGTACCGTCCATAAGCCCAGAAATGGACAGGACCAGCTAGCCCTGAACAAAACTACGGTGCTGAACAAAACGTACACTAGCTGCGGCTTTAAAAAAAGGATGACACCCCATCCTTGAGGGCTCCCAACCCCGATCGGACGGTACGCTGGGAGGATGTAAATTGGACTATAATCCCAATCTGACAGATAGAGAGTGGGGCTCTGTCCCCGGTACTTGCAGAGGCCCTATGCATTTTTACCATAGTAACCCTTCATCGCAGTTGCCGGGATTCGAACCCGGGACCTAACCCTTGCTACCAGTTGAGCTACGCCCACCGATCACTGGCGCGCTGGGGCTTTGGTATTATATATGGTTGTCTTTGGGCTAGCTACTTGCATATTTCTTTGACTATGATGTATCAAAGATTATGTGAGCTGTATTATTTAGACATTTCCCCTTCGAATTTTATTTATTTTTTTGGCTAGTTGCGACTTAATTATATATTACTCCCTATTGGCCTTATCATTTCTGCCGGCCACTTATAGCGTTTCTTTCCTCACGTTCATTGTTTTTTAACTTATCCACGACATCATATAATTTGTATTTTTTGTGAAGAGCAATTTTCTCGATTTACGAATTGCATTGGCAAATAATATATGAAACTGAATCTTTTTTAGTTAAATTGGCAAAAGAGTGCACTTTTAGCTCTTTTTCTCATTTTTTACTTTGGTAATAGTCGAATCATAAACATAATATAACGTTTTTTTAATAAAATTCAGCCGTTTCAATAACTTCAATAAATTCATCCAATTCAAATGTTACCGGGGACTCATAGAGTTTGGTTTAAAATACCATCAATCCCAAATTACATGTTACATTCGCTATTTAAAAGTAAAGAAAATGTAACACCGAGAAGATGGAATCTCAACTAATAAACCCAATTATGTAAATTTGGTACAACTAGGCACCGGGAGTTATCAGTTACTCCCTCCGTCCCATTTTAGTTAGTCAAAATTTAGTTTTTAAGTCAATGACGTCTAACTTTGACCGATTATATGTTTATATAGAGAAAGTATTAATAATATGAAAATGGTATGAAAATGTTCTTTGTTAAAAATACTATCATAAAAGTATAAAATTATTAAATTTTTCATAAATATATTAGTTTAAATAATTGCTCAAAGTTTATCACCTTTGACTGGAAAAGTCAAAGATGGCTAAGTAAATTGGGACGGAGGGAGTATGTTTTTACTTACACTTTTCAGATCCAACCCAGATCATATTTAAACCCGATCAAACCAAACTTAAATAGATCAAACCAAACTTAAATAGATCAAACCAGACTTTTTGACAATTGTAAAATACACACATACAATGATTTTTTAGGGTTGTGGGCCAAACCTATGCTCCCAAAATAGAGATTAACAAAGAACAAGTGGCTTCTTTTTTACACTCCGAATCCAAGTTACTTTTCCTGGCAAATCTAGCAAGCAAGTTGATCATATTCGGACCAAACTTCGTACGTACTTTAAGAATAAATTCGTGTAATGTAATTATATAATTGGATTGGATGAGAATTTTATTAAGTATATGCAAAGGCCAGGTAGGAAGATAATTTTGTTATGTAAAATCATTTTACATGCATACATTTTTTTGCGTAGTATTAGGCACACTACCTTTTTGAAATGCGTACATGTAATGTAATTTAAAGAAAGAGAAATTTGCAATATTCATCCCGTAACTTTCGACCGTTATCAGTGTTGTAACTTTAGTCACTTTCAAATTCGGTCCTCTAACTAATTAATATTTGCGATTTAAGGACTTTTCCACCGAAAAGTACACTTTCCGGAAATAGCATACCGGAAAAGATGTCACCGGCGTTGGACATTTCCGTCGAAATTGAAAGTGTACTTTCCGGTGGGAAAGTCCTTAAATTACAAAGATTTATTAGTTACAGGACCAAATTTGCAAGTTCTTAAAGTTACAGGACCAAAAATGATAACAGCCGAAAGTTATTATTTTCTTTATTTTTCATTGATTAAAGTGTTTAATTTCAAACTACACGTTTGCAATCTTATACCTTCCCTACACTCTAGATGAGAAGTATTTCCGGTGCATCATACAAAATAGCCCATCACAAAAGGAATATAGAGGTATATAGGAGCACCTATGTAGAGCAAATGAGTATGGGCGTGACCTTGGGTTAGCCACTGTCTACTAAGGAGTATACTTTAATTCCAAAATAGGACTATTATGTATTTCTTCCCGAAATAGGAATCAGTATGGTCATGATTGAAAAATATTGTCATTAATGATAATAAATATTGTCACGTTTAATGTCTAGTACTGCAACGATTTTCTTGTAATGACTATAATATAAGAATAAATACTGTCATGATACTCCTATTTCTGAAAAAACATATAGCAGCCATATTTTGGAAGGGAAAGTTCCCGAAATAGGACTAAAACAGTTTGAAAATTCTAAAATAGAACTGTCATGTTTTTTATTCCCAAAATAAGACTAATTACTGTCATGTTTAGTGTCATTTTGAAGTCTGGTACTGCCAAAACATGACAGTAATTAGTCCTATTTTGAGAATAAAAACATGGCATTCCTATTTTGAAAATTTCAAACTGTTTTAGTCCTATTTCGGATAATATTCTCATTTTGGAATTCCAAAACCTATTTACTCATATTTCGGAAACTTTCCCAAGTTTTTACTATTCAGTGTTATATTTACGTGATCGTGTGAATGTAATATTTTTTGACTGATTTTGAGGTCAATTTTTTGGGGTTGTGGTTAAGCCAACTCATCTTTGGATCAAATTTTGTTGATTATGTTCTTAAACTTACGTTTCTTTCAGTTATTGATCCTGTAATTTTATGCTAATAATATAACTAAAAAGTTTGTCTACGTTTAAAGAATTCGTCACCGGATGCCTAATTTTAGGTACAAAAAAACATATCTGAAAAATTGATGCAACAATAAATATAAAGTTAAGTTTAATGAAGACATATTTATTAGTTACTTGCATGGCATGATCTGTAACTAAGAAAAGTCACTAGAATAATTATGGACAAACACATAAGTTATCGGACTATGATATTAATTTTCTCCAAGAAATTACTTTAGTTTTTAATGTTTCACAATATTTATCAAGATTCAAGAAATCATCTAGCCTTAAGATTAAAGGAACATAAGTGAAATGAACATACTTATAGTGGGTAGGTGAGATTCCTTGAAAAAACAGCCTGGTTCTGGTCCTATCAAGGTTGGAGTCGGCCCAACTGGCCCACGTTTCCAGACCTTTTTGAAGAGCAGCCAACCGATCCATATCCTCATACAATAACCCTCCTAATCCCATGTAGTCCCACCTGCCACCAAGGGATACATTCTTCATTAATTAACTTCTATGTTAATTAATTAATTAATTAATTAATTACTCTGTTGTGATCCCTTATTAAATAAATGTATATAGGGTAAGCATCATAATTAATTTATGAAAGTGGGGGTGGGGTGCAAGTGTACCCTTGCAGGGACCCTTGGTGGGCCCACCAATGCCCAGTGTTAAAAGAAAGGACATCCACATTCTTCCAACTATCCCCATTCTTGCTTATGTCATCTAGTTTCAGTATGTTTTTCCCCTCCACTGATTCTATGTCCACCAGGTATGGTGCTCTGTAAAATGACAATGTCACTCCATACTCCTGCATTTTTCCCATTTTGGATATGCTTTCAGAACATGTTGAACATATAATTGATGCAATAAAGTAAGAAATAGGTTTAAATGTGTTATATTTTGCCTCACATAACTTTTCGTATTAATGTTGCAATTCGGATGTTTTTCTTTTGTGTCTCTAATTAGAAAATAAAAATTGAGTTGTTTTAATAAGTTTTGGTGTACATCATTTGTAGTGTCTATATACAAACAATTTCTGTATTTTACCTCCACACATTGTCTGTCTACACAGACGGATTGTCTATATACAAACAATTTCTGTATTTCCAAATGAGTTGTTAGTATATAGACAAATCTGTTTAAGTAGACATACGTGTGGGAATGGTGTATACAAAAAGGTGTAAATCTAGCATTTTTTAAGGAACAACAATGTTTTGAAATGCAAATATGAAGTTCTATGTGACAAATTACAATTGAAAAGTGATAGAATGAACAAAAAACTTATAAAAGACTAAAAAAGGACAAACAGGATGTTTTTGTGACCCATTTTTCTCTTATCACCTTATCCACCAGATTCTTTACAAAAGATCAAAGTTTTAATTCCGCATGTTTAATTGTCTAATAAGGAAAATGGGTAGCATTAAATGTTCTTTGTAAGTTGAATTGGTTGCATTTCAGAATGGTGACAATTTTAAAGCATTTTTATATGATTTTTTCTTTCTTTTGATAATCAAATAAACTTCCAATATTAGGAGCCGGCTTAATACTAATTATTAATTAAAATGTCTGAATTGACAAATTCTGGTGATTTATGTAAAAGTTATATTTAAAATATATTTTATTAATAAAATGAAAGAAAAAATTATACAAAAAACAGTTGAAATGATTTTCTGCGTTAATTTCGTCAGTACAGTCAGAAAACTAACTAACCTTACATTTTCTTTTATTACACAATTCTGCTCAAGAGTATATTTTTTGGTGAAAAATTAGTTATAAGCGTGATAAACACACAAAAAGTTACCAAAGCGGCTCTCAATCATCATGTTCAAGCAATTAGCAGAATCTTTAGCAATTTCATCACATTCTTCAGAAATTCAGATTCAGCCAATAGTGTTACCGAATGGCTGAATATGTCTTTCCCCAGATTAAAAACACTTTTAAGCCGATAGAATCTGAAAAATGCTTGGTGAGGTGAAATGGATTAGAGATACCAAGAATATGAAAGATGATAGAGGTCCGCCATGAATCATCTGAGTATGTGTTCTTGGAACGAAAGCTGAGACCATGCAAATCAGAGACTGCCACTGATTCAGGCCCAGAGAATCACCCACAAACATCACCGTCTTCCCTCTCATTTTCTCCAAAAACACCAGCCCATTGAACCTGTAAAGTTTCACCCGCCGGAAAATCAAGAACCGTGAAAAGTGAAAACAACCCATAAAGATCGAAACTTTACCACTCCATTTTAACCACGGTACCTGGGAACGTCACAACCGGAAGGTTTCCACCGGTAATGGAGGTACCCGGAGTCCGGCCGGCCGTACATTTGGCAGTTGAACTCTTGGTCGATTATGGCCTGGCAATCAGAGGATTGGTACAATGGGTAGGTTTGGTCAACAACCCAGCTGCCCTCAAACAGGGAGCAAGAAGAGGTGCTCAGGTTTTTGGCCGCGGGGAGCGACGGATGTTTATGGTCGGCATGGCGGCGGCGGCGGCCCTCCTTAGAACCCACTACTCCTAAATGGGATTGTAGCATAGAAATGAAGCATATGGTTGCTAGAAGGTATGAAAGAAGTGCCATTGAATTAAAGAAATGAAGCTAAAAAAAGAAGAAGAGGTTTATAGAGAGGAAGGACCAAATGAATATATTGTAGCTAATGCATTTGTGTGTGATGATTAATAGAGGAAGACACAAATATAAGCGCTGAGCTGATTGAGGTGGGGGTGGGTGTTGTTTGTCTGTTTTGTTTTTGTGTTTGATACTGTTAATTGTTGTGGGAAATACCCCAAAATAGCAGTAGATGATTCCTTTTTGTCATTCCCAACTCAAAAATCAAAATATCATATTGTAATCTAGTATTGGAGTTTAACTGTGAGATTACAGTGTCTAGCGGGAGGTCTCGAGGCATTTTAAGATTCTCCAAATTTTTAGTTTTAAAAATTTTACTATTTTAAAAAGATCTAATTATTTTTTATATTTCTAAATTTAAATTTTGTTTAATATTTCTTTTGTTAAAATTACACGTTTTAAAGTTTTCAGAAAATTTTCTTTCCTTAATATTTATATATTTTCCTTTTCCGTTTTCCTTTTCACTAAGAAATTTATAAAATTTCGAATTTTTATAATGATATATATAAATTACCGAGTATATAGAAATAATCGCACTAAGTATTTTTTAAATCTCCCACATTCTAAACTATTTTTGAAAAAAAAAATTATCTCGACTTTTATATTTCAAATTTTTTGTACTTTTGTTTATATTTTCCTGATTTAATATTTAAAATCTAAACTCATTTTTTATTTTTTTATATTCAATTTACAAGCTCCCAACTTTGAATTTTTTATTGTGTAGAAAATTTGGAGTATTAGTTTTTTTCTCTAGAAAGTTTTCCAGTTGTTTTCTTCTTTTTACGTTTAACTAATTTTTTTTATTTTCTATTTTCCTTTAATTCTTCGAGTTTGTATTTTCTTTTGAAAGGGATTCTTAGAATTTGTATTGGAATAACAAAGATTGTGGGTGTAGACTATAGAGTTGCTCACGTGCACTTGAGTGTAGATTTCCCAAGAAAAGAGTGTCCCTAAAGCTTCAGAAGGAAGGCCTCCAAAGTCGACTGAGCCAGAGTGCAGTTGCTTCTCTTGTCAACATTTCACACTGGGCGAGACACAACTTTGACCATTAATATAAATGATTTTATATTAGTAAAAAAATTAGATTATGAAAATTTACAATGAGACAAGTTTAACAATATTTTTTTCATAAAATAATATTATTACATTAATAAATAAAACATAGTCTAAGTAGAACATGTAAATAGTGTAAAAGTCAAAGTGTTGCATTTATTTAAGAACGGGGTAGTAGTTAGTCTATTTTTGAAAGATGTTTTGAAAAGTGAAAAAATTGATATTATTTTCACTTTTTAGTTTACTTGTGAAAAATTCCCTCAATGAAATGGTGCACTTCCACAGTTCCACTCCAAGATGGCCCATGTTTAATTAGGGATGGACCAAGTAGATCATATCATCATATGGTATTCCACAAACCTGAGTTAATAGCTAGATGAAATAAATATTTTTATCAAGACTAGTATTTCTTTGTAACCAATCAGAGGGCGCTTAAGAAGGCGCCTAATAAAAGGCTAAACAATTTATGACTAATCTAAAACATTAACCAATATAATTTGTGGATTTTTGTAATAAACATTGGGCACTAACACTGATGAATTACAAATCATATATATATAAATAAAAAAATGGAAGTATGAGTGGAACAATATTTTCTTTAGAAGAAAAGCCCTGTATAAAACAACTGATTCCAAGTATCAGGCAAGCCAGGGAGGCACCAATGGCTACAATCAGATGAGTGGTTAGGATTAGCCCTTTGGGCTGGAGTGAGATCTCCACTGTATATGGAAGGATGCGCATCTTTCCTCATAGCTGATAGAAGTGTTATGTTAAGAAGGGAAGGAGGATTGCTCATCTTCCCTAGCACTGCTTGGATCACCTTCATTTGTTCAGGGTACGTCCCGGGGTACGCCCCACCGTTTAACGTCGGGGATGTCTCACCGTAACAGCTCTTTGACAACGTCACCGTCTCCGAACTCCATTCATGAGGGCTGTCGATCAAAACCCATTTCGTTAACATCCAGAGCTTGGAAATGCTTGAAGTACAAACACAACTTTATAGTATGTAGATAATGTGATTCATACAATCGCTATTGATTTAAAGTTGGTGTAACGTGTCAAAAAATATATTTGTTGCTACATGTAAGTTTTAGAACACAGTGTACTACTTTGTTTCTATGAGTTTTATACTCCCTTAACTTATAGAGACTTTTATTAGTGATCCAAAAAAATTGTTCATAGTAATGATGCTTTATTTGGAGTAAAGAGACTTTTATTAGTGATCCAAATAATAGAGTTAAGAGAAAGTTTTGTGGACAGATTTATACGAAGTACTGCGTATTTAACTTACCCAGATAATACTTTAGTCAAGTATAAATACTCTTCACTTTAATCTAATTCATAATTTTGGATCCGCCCTTAGGCGCTTGCCTACCAGTTGGGCTGGTGCCTCACGTATTAACACAGTGATCTTTGATAGATAATTAAATCCCTCTAAAACTTTTATTTATCTAAAACACTCTAAGATCAAGTACTCAAGAAAACTTTCCGTAATATTTGTCAAAAATGACCAACAAATAGATTTAGAGAAAATCTATTTATTGATACCAAAATAAAAAATCGTCAAAAACATCTCTTTTTACGGAAGAAATATAAAAGAGAGGGAGCATATTCCTATAATGTATTACTCCCTCTGCCCCCATCTTTCCTTTCTGATCCAATCCAATAAGATTGTCTTATATCAAATTTGGTAAAATTAGTGGAACGGAGGTAATATGATTAATAGTATGTAATTATGCAATACCTAACAGAAAGTTTCTTTAAAATGTATTAGAACAATACTACGTATGAATTTGGTGCATGTAAGATGTTGCATTCATAGATATGGGGTTGTGAAAAATGTCAACCTAACAATTATATACTTCGTATTAGAAAGGAGTGGAGGAGGTAAATTGAACTTTAATCACAAGTTCTCTCACAAGTTACCCAATTATTAAGTGACCAAATAAGTGAAGTGAAGGCTCTTCAATTTGGAGTGTAAATCTTTTTGTACAATGGAGTGTAAATCTTTTTGTACTCTAAAGTGGGTGTGCCACCGACAAGGTGGATTTGGCAAATCTAATGTACTTTGCATTATATATATACTCAGTATATAAAGAAACATGAACAGAAGTAAAAAAAAAAACAGAAGAAAAAATAGGTCCAAATTTTTTCTTTATATATAGTGTGAGTAGAGTTCTTTTTTATCCTTAAGTTCAATTAATTAGGTCTAATGATTAATTTTATATAAATTTGAACATTTAAAACATAAAGTTAAACAGAGTCAAGTTTAAAACGGAATATATACATTAATTTTTAGCATGACCGGTTGTAGTTTTTAAAAGCAATACAATGGTTGATGCATAAATAAAAAACACATCTCTCTAGTCCTAACATCTTTTTAGCTTTTAAGATTTTTTATTCAATTTAATTATAACATAACAAATTTATATAATTATTTTAGAGCCCGTTTCTCTCAAATCTCACCCCAATTCATTTGTTTCCAAATATTAGTAAGCTATATTTGAGTTTCTAATAGTTGTTTTAGAGGACGTCAAATTTGAAATCTTCTCGCGCAAGTCCTCTGACATCCAAACATTTTGTCTCTTTGAAAACCTCCATTCTTTCGAGACTCAAACTTCAGACTCTCATCAGCGATCAATAAATCATTCTCAACTTATGAATTCAATATGTACTAATATTTCTTCTCAAATCCTTTCACAAGAAAATTTAGTATTGTTATATGTTCCGACAATTTTATTGTTTGTCATATATATTAGCGGAAAGAAGATTGTCTATGAAGCAATTATTGATGATTTGCTTCATATTGTTCTACGGGAAACATTTTTAAGTAATGTTTTTTATTTCTATTCGATAATCGTGTTATTACTTTTGTCCAAATATGTAACTAAATAATAATAAAGTGATTCTCTCCTTTATTCTATGAACTTCATTGTCTAAATATGATTTACTGTTTGTCATGGATATAAGCCCAAAATAGCGTACCGTCCATAAGCCCAGAAATGGACAGGACCAGCTAGCCCTGAACAAAACTACGGTGCTGAACAAAACGTACACTAGCTGCGGCTTTAAAAAAAGGATGACACCCCATCCTTGAGGGCTCCCAACCCCGATCGGACGGTACGCTGGGAGGATGTAAATTGGACTATAATCCCAATCTGACAGATAGAGAGTGGGGCTCTGTCCCCGGTACTTGCAGAGGCCCTATGCATTTTTACCATAGTAACCCTTCATCGCAGTTGCCGGGATTCGAACCCGGGACCTAACCCTTGCTACCAGTTGAGCTACGCCCACCGATCACTGGCGCGCTGGGGCTTTGGTATTATATATGGTTGTCTTTGGGCTAGCTACTTGCATATTTCTTTGACTATGATGTATCAAAGATTATGTGAGCTGTATTATTTAGACATTTCCCCTTCGAATTTTATTTATTTTTTTGGCTAGTTGCGACTTAATTATATATTACTCCCTATTGGCCTTATCATTTCTGCCGGCCACTTATAGCGTTTCTTTCCTCACGTTCATTGTTTTTTAACTTATCCACGACATCATATAATTTGTATTTTTTGTGAAGAGCAATTTTCTCGATTTACGAATTGCATTGGCAAATAATATATGAAACTGAATCTTTTTTAGTTAAATTGGCAAAAGAGTGCACTTTTAGCTCTTTTTCTCATTTTTTACTTTGGTAATAGTCGAATCATAAACATAATATAACGTTTTTTTAATAAAATTCAGCCGTTTCAATAACTTCAATAAATTCATCCAATTCAAATGTTACCGGGGACTCATAGAGTTTGGTTTAAAATACCATCAATCCCAAATTACATGTTACATTCGCTATTTAAAAGTAAAGAAAATGTAACACCGAGAAGATGGAATCTCAACTAATAAACCCAATTATGTAAATTTGGTACAACTAGGCACCGGGAGTTATCAGTTACTCCCTCCGTCCCATTTTAGTTAGTCAAAATTTAGTTTTTAAGTCAATGACGTCTAACTTTGACCGATTATATGTTTATATAGAGAAAGTATTAATAATATGAAAATGGTATGAAAATGTTCTTTGTTAAAAATACTATCATAAAAGTATAAAATTATTAAATTTTTCATAAATATATTAGTTTAAATAATTGCTCAAAGTTTATCACCTTTGACTGGAAAAGTCAAAGATGGCTAAGTAAATTGGGACGGAGGGAGTATGTTTTTACTTACACTTTTCAGATCCAACCCAGATCATATTTAAACCCGATCAAACCAAACTTAAATAGATCAAACCAAACTTAAATAGATCAAACCAGACTTTTTGACAATTGTAAAATACACACATACAATGATTTTTTAGGGTTGTGGGCCAAACCTATGCTCCCAAAATAGAGATTAACAAAGAACAAGTGGCTTCTTTTTTACACTCCGAATCCAAGTTACTTTTCCTGGCAAATCTAGCAAGCAAGTTGATCATATTCGGACCAAACTTCGTACGTACTTTAAGAATAAATTCGTGTAATGTAATTATATAATTGGATTGGATGAGAATTTTATTAAGTATATGCAAAGGCCAGGTAGGAAGATAATTTTGTTATGTAAAATCATTTTACATGCATACATTTTTTTGCGTAGTATTAGGCACACTACCTTTTTGAAATGCGTACATGTAATGTAATTTAAAGAAAGAGAAATTTGCAATATTCATCCCGTAACTTTCGACCGTTATCAGTGTTGTAACTTTAGTCACTTTCAAATTCGGTCCTCTAACTAATTAATATTTGCGATTTAAGGACTTTTCCACCGAAAAGTACACTTTCCGGAAATAGCATACCGGAAAAGATGTCACCGGCGTTGGACATTTCCGTCGAAATTGAAAGTGTACTTTCCGGTGGGAAAGTCCTTAAATTACAAAGATTTATTAGTTACAGGACCAAATTTGCAAGTTCTTAAAGTTACAGGACCAAAAATGATAACAGCCGAAAGTTATTATTTTCTTTATTTTTCATTGATTAAAGTGTTTAATTTCAAACTACACGTTTGCAATCTTATACCTTCCCTACACTCTAGATGAGAAGTATTTCCGGTGCATCATACAAAATAGCCCATCACAAAAGGAATATAGAGGTATATAGGAGCACCTATGTAGAGCAAATGAGTATGGGCGTGACCTTGGGTTAGCCACTGTCTACTAAGGAGTATACTTTAATTCCAAAATAGGACTATTATGTATTTCTTCCCGAAATAGGAATCAGTATGGTCATGATTGAAAAATATTGTCATTAATGATAATAAATATTGTCACGTTTAATGTCTAGTACTGCAACGATTTTCTTGTAATGACTATAATATAAGAATAAATACTGTCATGATACTCCTATTTCTGAAAAAACATATAGCAGCCATATTTTGGAAGGGAAAGTTCCCGAAATAGGACTAAAACAGTTTGAAAATTCTAAAATAGAACTGTCATGTTTTTTATTCCCAAAATAAGACTAATTACTGTCATGTTTAGTGTCATTTTGAAGTCTGGTACTGCCAAAACATGACAGTAATTAGTCCTATTTTGAGAATAAAAACATGGCATTCCTATTTTGAAAATTTCAAACTGTTTTAGTCCTATTTCGGATAATATTCTCATTTTGGAATTCCAAAACCTATTTACTCATATTTCGGAAACTTTCCCAAGTTTTTACTATTCAGTGTTATATTTACGTGATCGTGTGAATGTAATATTTTTTGACTGATTTTGAGGTCAATTTTTTGGGGTTGTGGTTAAGCCAACTCATCTTTGGATCAAATTTTGTTGATTATGTTCTTAAACTTACGTTTCTTTCAGTTATTGATCCTGTAATTTTATGCTAATAATATAACTAAAAAGTTTGTCTACGTTTAAAGAATTCGTCACCGGATGCCTAATTTTAGGTACAAAAAAACATATCTGAAAAATTGATGCAACAATAAATATAAAGTTAAGTTTAATGAAGACATATTTATTAGTTACTTGCATGGCATGATCTGTAACTAAGAAAAGTCACTAGAATAATTATGGACAAACACATAAGTTATCGGACTATGATATTAATTTTCTCCAAGAAATTACTTTAGTTTTTAATGTTTCACAATATTTATCAAGATTCAAGAAATCATCTAGCCTTAAGATTAAAGGAACATAAGTGAAATGAACATACTTATAGTGGGTAGGTGAGATTCCTTGAAAAAACAGCCTGGTTCTGGTCCTATCAAGGTTGGAGTCGGCCCAACTGGCCCACGTTTCCAGACCTTTTTGAAGAGCAGCCAACCGATCCATATCCTCATACAATAACCCTCCTAATCCCATGTAGTCCCACCTGCCACCAAGGGATACATTCTTCATTAATTAACTTCTATGTTAATTAATTAATTAATTAATTAATTACTCTGTTGTGATCCCTTATTAAATAAATGTATATAGGGTAAGCATCATAATTAATTTATGAAAGTGGGGGTGGGGTGCAAGTGTACCCTTGCAGGGACCCTTGGTGGGCCCACCAATGCCCAGTGTTAAAAGAAAGGACATCCACATTCTTCCAACTATCCCCATTCTTGCTTATGTCATCTAGTTTCAGTATGTTTTTCCCCTCCACTGATTCTATGTCCACCAGGTATGGTGCTCTGTAAAATGACAATGTCACTCCATACTCCTGCATTTTTCCCATTTTGGATATGCTTTCAGAACATGTTGAACATATAATTGATGCAATAAAGTAAGAAATAGGTTTAAATGTGTTATATTTTGCCTCACATAACTTTTCGTATTAATGTTGCAATTCGGATGTTTTTCTTTTGTGTCTCTAATTAGAAAATAAAAATTGAGTTGTTTTAATAAGTTTTGGTGTACATCATTTGTAGTGTCTATATACAAACAATTTCTGTATTTTACCTCCACACATTGTCTGTCTACACAGACGGATTGTCTATATACAAACAATTTCTGTATTTCCAAATGAGTTGTTAGTATATAGACAAATCTGTTTAAGTAGACATACGTGTGGGAATGGTGTATACAAAAAGGTGTAAATCTAGCATTTTTTAAGGAACAACAATGTTTTGAAATGCAAATATGAAGTTCTATGTGACAAATTACAATTGAAAAGTGATAGAATGAACAAAAAACTTATAAAAGACTAAAAAAGGACAAACAGGATGTTTTTGTGACCCATTTTTCTCTTATCACCTTATCCACCAGATTCTTTACAAAAGATCAAAGTTTTAATTCCGCATGTTTAATTGTCTAATAAGGAAAATGGGTAGCATTAAATGTTCTTTGTAAGTTGAATTGGTTGCATTTCAGAATGGTGACAATTTTAAAGCATTTTTATATGATTTTTTCTTTCTTTTGATAATCAAATAAACTTCCAATATTAGGAGCCGGCTTAATACTAATTATTAATTAAAATGTCTGAATTGACAAATTCTGGTGATTTATGTAAAAGTTATATTTAAAATATATTTTATTAATAAAATGAAAGAAAAAATTATACAAAAAACAGTTGAAATGATTTTCTGCGTTAATTTCGTCAGTACAGTCAGAAAACTAACTAACCTTACATTTTCTTTTATTACACAATTCTGCTCAAGAGTATATTTTTTGGTGAAAAATTAGTTATAAGCGTGATAAACACACAAAAAGTTACCAAAGCGGCTCTCAATCATCATGTTCAAGCAATTAGCAGAATCTTTAGCAATTTCATCACATTCTTCAGAAATTCAGATTCAGCCAATAGTGTTACCGAATGGCTGAATATGTCTTTCCCCAGATTAAAAACACTTTTAAGCCGATAGAATCTGAAAAATGCTTGGTGAGGTGAAATGGATTAGAGATACCAAGAATATGAAAGATGATAGAGGTCCGCCATGAATCATCTGAGTATGTGTTCTTGGAACGAAAGCTGAGACCATGCAAATCAGAGACTGCCACTGATTCAGGCCCAGAGAATCACCCACAAACATCACCGTCTTCCCTCTCATTTTCTCCAAAAACACCAGCCCATTGAACCTGTAAAGTTTCACCCGCCGGAAAATCAAGAACCGTGAAAAGTGAAAACAACCCATAAAGATCGAAACTTTACCACTCCATTTTAACCACGGTACCTGGGAACGTCACAACCGGAAGGTTTCCACCGGTAATGGAGGTACCCGGAGTCCGGCCGGCCGTACATTTGGCAGTTGAACTCTTGGTCGATTATGGCCTGGCAATCAGAGGATTGGTACAATGGGTAGGTTTGGTCAACAACCCAGCTGCCCTCAAACAGGGAGCAAGAAGAGGTGCTCAGGTTTTTGGCCGCGGGGAGCGACGGATGTTTATGGTCGGCATGGCGGCGGCGGCGGCCCTCCTTAGAACCCACTACTCCTAAATGGGATTGTAGCATAGAAATGAAGCATATGGTTGCTAGAAGGTATGAAAGAAGTGCCATTGAATTAAAGAAATGAAGCTAAAAAAAGAAGAAGAGGTTTATAGAGAGGAAGGACCAAATGAATATATTGTAGCTAATGCATTTGTGTGTGATGATTAATAGAGGAAGACACAAATATAAGCGCTGAGCTGATTGAGGTGGGGGTGGGTGTTGTTTGTCTGTTTTGTTTTTGTGTTTGATACTGTTAATTGTTGTGGGAAATACCCCAAAATAGCAGTAGATGATTCCTTTTTGTCATTCCCAACTCAAAAATCAAAATATCATATTGTAATCTAGTATTGGAGTTTAACTGTGAGATTACAGTGTCTAGCGGGAGGTCTCGAGTTTGAAACTCGTTAGACACAAATAGGGGAGATGATGGAGGTATTGATCCCAATGATTATTCCTACCTTCACGGAGTTGCTCAGCGGATGAGAAGGAAACAATGGTAATGAATGTAGCGAGTTCGTGTGGTGGAAGGAGCAGCCTAAATAGGTGATGTAAGTCCTGCTGAATTCGTCCTTTAGAACCGGTACTGACGAGGCTGACTGTGATCAGATCCGGATTTAATTGTCTAGAGGCTTTGGATGATAGTTCAGACTCCAGGATTAGAGAAGCGCAAGCACCAACACCTGGATCAACAAAAAAAATAAGTGTGTGAGGTGGTATTAGTATTAATTAGCAAGTTACCATATTTGTACTCTAGTTCATTCAATTTCATAATTTTAAGAGAGAATTAGTAGGATTATTACTAAAAGAAAAAAGAAATAGTGATTAACTCCTAAAATATGACTAAACAGATTTGCACTCCTATAATAATGATGTTTTACATGTATGGTATGTATTTCGATACTACTTTTTGTTCCTCTAATTTAGTCATTTCTTTGCTCATATATAGTTATGTTTAAATAAATTTCTCATTTTCTCATTATAATAAATTAATTAACTCAATTCTGTAATTTGTACTTCTAGTTATGACACTATCACATTATTGATCATGTTATTTTACAAATCGTATACTACATGTAATTGATATTTTGTTTGTGTAAAGAATTTTCCATCTTTCCCGAACACAGATTATGATTATCAGATTATTGTGATTGTATTGGCGGTTTACAAAAAAAAAATCATTTCATTTGGTTGCTAGGGCGGTTTACAACCAAATACTCCCTCCGGTTCCAAAAGATCTTGACATTTTGACTTCACAGTTTTTAAGGAAATAAACACTGTTTGGCACTGTTTTGTGTAGATTTATTTGCCAAATAAGGCAAATAAGAAAGTGTAAAGATCTTTCTGGTACTGCTAAAAATGGAAAGTGTAAAGATCTTTCGGAATCGGAAGGAGTAATAACAAATTATATACCAAATCTACAATTCTCTTATTTTAGATCATAATGTTATTCCCTCCGTTCCGGTCATTTTTTCCAACTTTCCTTTTTGGATCGTCCCAATTAGTTCTTCCAACTTCCACTTTTGGAAAAAATATGTGGTTCACATTCATTCACATTTTTCATACACAACTACAATCATACATTTCCACTTTATTCTAACTATCTAAATTTGCGAGCCAAGTCAAAATCGGAAGAAATGACCGGGACGGAAGAGGAGTATTAATCAATTCCATAAACTGTACATTTGCCTGCATGTGAAGGTGAGTAGGACAATAGGAGGAGGGATTCACGTGCACCTATAACTTGCCCGTGGCCATAGCGGCGCTGACTCGGAGATTTGACTTATTTTCCCATATTATTAGCCGTATAAAAGTGACTTGGTGAGAAATTTGTTAATCGTTTCTCTTTATAAGGGTTTATATAACTACTACTCCCTCGAAATAATTGTCCTACTTTGACTTTTACACAGATTAAGAAAATGAAGTTGACTTCACATTGTAGCGATACTGTTTGGCACTGTAGCGACACTGTTTAACACTGTAACGACACTGTTTGGTACTGTTTGACATTGTTTTGCACCGTTAGACACTGTTTTGTATAGATTTGTTTACAAAATAAGAAAAGTTTCAAAGTAGGACAATTATTTTGGGACATCCATTTTGGAAAAGCAGGACATTTATTTCGGAACGGAGGGAGTATTTACTAGTATTGGACTATTGACTTGGCTCAAAAGGTGTAATCTCCCACCCCAGGAACCCCCCATACCCCGACCCAACAGGATTTTTGGGAGAATGTTAATCACGGTGACTCAGTCGATTCAATGATGGTAGGTCTTATACCCGTACGCACTAGAGATCTAGCCTTATTTCAGGTTCTGTGACCTCCACACGGCCGCTGTGGGTTTCGAACTTTGGTCACTAATATTGGACTATTGACCATTATATTGCAAGGAGTGTAACTTTCCCATTACACACACACCTAATCTTGTCACCAATTTTCTGATTGGAACATCCTTCGATCACCTCAATTTGGAGTGTTTTGAGTGAAACTATTTGACAAAAATTTGTAATAATGTTTTCCATGAAGTATATATTTTGTCCATAAAATTCAGCTTAACACTAAATCTGAAAATCAGTTAAATAAATTATTAAAAAAACTGCATTTTATATATATTTTGGTGCAATTTCTTCAATATTTATATTTAACTTCCCAATTGAATTTTGAATTGAAATTTTATGGGCATAATTTACACTTAATGATAAATGTTCTCACAAAATTTCATCTAACACTTTTACCCGAAAGCGCATCAATTTGACGTGGCGAGACAATGCTACAGTCAAAAACTTCCTAACCATAAGATAAACGTGAGTACTATATAAATAGAAGACATTTTAACGTGAGAAACCTTTACTCCTTTTTGTGCATTTTAACAGTTATTTGATGCACTTTTACCTCATGGCAGAAAAGTTTGAATTAATTACAAAATTGTCACTGTGTCGCTCATTACTTTTTTTAACAATTTTTGCACTATAATAGCCATTAGATCTCAAATCAACGCATCAGATGCATTCTCGCAATCTCAAATCAATGCACCACATGAATTCTCGCTTCTTACAATATGTATTATTTTCATTTGATCACAATTATATATAAGAGAGAGTTCAAATAAAAAGGAGTCTTAACATGTAAAATGAGAATCAATCTTAGTCATCCGAATTGTCAATTTGATTCACAATAACCCAATCTAATGCATTTTCGAAGAAACCTTATCTGATGCACTTTTTGAAAAGTGCATCAAATAATGTTTATCTGATAAGTGCATCAGATAAGGTTATTGTGCATCAGATTGACAATTTGGACGACTAGGATTAATTCTTATTTTACACGTTAAGACTTTTTTTTATTTTATCCAAACTCTATGTATATAATTACGATCATAGAATTTAGGATCTAATGGCTCCAAATATGTTAAAAATGCATTAAAGTGGATGAAAACGCGGTAACGTTTTCATAAATATATCAAAGTTTTTCTTCTTAACAAAAAATGAACTTCTTGTGTGTTACGGTACGTACCGTCGTACCGTGAAGGATCAAAAGTGGATTAAAAGCGCATGTCACAAATTACTATGCAATAGTGCAACACAATTGTTCAAAAATTGAGGTGTTCACATTTTGTATTTTAAAACTACTTTTAATGGGTGGGTATTGTGACAATTTTTGGGACTCGTTATAAATGATATTTTCGTTATAAATGATATTTTATAAATAATTAAAGTACGGTGTATCGTGTATGTGACTGCTAGTCTGCTACCTGCTTAAGACCTCCTGCACTGCTTTCAAATTTTGATAACGAATTTAGAAAAATGTATTAACGTATGTGCTTATTTATTAATTTATTAAGTTATTTATTATTTATTTATTGTATAGTTTTTATTTGTTTAAAGTCTCAACTCTATTTGAATGTAGCATGCATTAAGATATCAGGAATGCACACATTAATGGTTCACTTTTTTAAAATTGTGCACGCAATTGTACAAATTAACTAATGAGGTTATTTTAATTGCTCATCAACTCTATTTCAAAGAAAAGATATGACACTCCATCCCTAAGAAACCAACATCGGCCCCGGCCAGACAATAATGGATGAGGATGTAAATTGAACTACGTTCATCGGCATCGGCATCAACTCTATTTCCCGGAGCTTTCTATTCACAATGTTTTACGAGTTCATTCAATAAAGGTAGAGTTGTATAAAGAGTGATAATTTGGAAAAGAGAAACATTGCACATTACCTCCATAACGAATAACTACAAAATGAATTTATTATATGCCTAAAAAACCCTTCTCTAGAGGCATATCACATATCCCAGTAGGTATCAAAGTTCATCATACTTTCACAATCGATAATCACTTTTCTCCCATCCCCCATGATACTTATGAAAAATGCATATTAGATTATAGATTACAATTGTAAGTATATCAGGGAAAACTCATGGCAACTAAAAATGTGGTGTGATATTCATTCTCCGCGTGAATTTTAGAGTGTATTTGTGGCCTAGATTTTTAGGAACTCTACAGTAAAACAAATGTGAGAACCATTCATTATAAAATCTCACTCCATGCAATTTGAGTGTTCTTAGAGAGTCAAACTAAAAGTGAGGCAATAAGATAAGATATTATTCTCATTTACACGGATTTCTAACACACTTGCTCATGATTTCTAGAACTCTACAAGTATAATTACTAATACTATGGAGTATGCGCACGGGTATAAGATCTACCATCATTGGACCGACTTATTCACCGTGACTTACATCCTCCCAAAAATCATGTTGGATCGGGATGTGGGGGGCTCCTGAGGTGGGAGATTCCACTTTTTTGGAACAACTAATACTACGGAGTAAGGAATATTTGTTTTCAGTATAATCTCTTGAAGTGAAAAATAAAGCGATGAAGTGTAGCAAAGCTGCAAAAGTATGCTAAAACTCCTAAAAGCACAACCAAACATCGATATCATGAAGTAAGCATTTGTGCTTAATAGAAAATAAAAGTATGAAGCTAAGTATAGACATTTAAAAATTAAATGTAGCTAAATAAGTACTTATTCTTAAAATCATATTCATGTTTAAGATGTTTTTAATTGAATTGATTTATGTCTCAAATCAGACCAGACTAATTCAGACAAGATTTTGACTGTTGTAAAAACACATAAAACAGACATCTACTAGACCAGCTAAGAGCATACCAGACTTGAACATACCATAACAAACCAAATCAGCCTAAAATTTTAAAGTTCAATTAAAAGTATCCTTAATTAATAATTAAATATTGATGTGGCTAGAGAAGAGTACCCGGGGCCATTAATTAGGATAAGAGCCATTTGAGATTGCATTCTATTTCTCTTGAGCTAGCAATCTTGATCAAGATTTTTCTTATTATTAGAAAAATAAGAATACATTGTAATTGCGAATAAAAGCAAACTAAAAATGATCATATTAAGGAATAGAATGCAGAATAGTTTGAACAAATTAGGTGTGACCTGCTATTTCTTTTATACATAGTACATTGAAAAAGCAAAGAAATAGAAAAAAGTGCACATATTAAGCAACCCTGTGTAGATTTTCCTTTGCAAATGAGAAAGCTTAACAACCGTATGTATATACGAAGTATTCAACAATACAGATTGTTTAATTTATGTTATGGAAAATTGAAAGTCAACAAACATAGAAAAATATAGCTCTCTAAATAACAATCATCCACACAAAAGTTCAACCCCATATATTACATCACCAATGCCTTAGTTCAACCCCATATATCCATCACTAATGATCCTAAGGAAGGCGCAAGCATATCAGCATCGCAATGCGGCGAGGGTCCCGCAAAAATTCAACCATAAAGGTGAAACGTATCAACTTTAGCTACACAAACCAATGTGCCAAATACCCTCCTACAAGCAAGTTATAGCAATGTGTATTCAATGCATGGTGTTAGTTTATTAGTAATGTGCGTTTTATAATCACGAGGGCATACATACAGCTCTACTTGGATATGGTATTTCAAAGATTTATTCGTATACAACTTTTTAGACCAATAATTGATTGTTTACTACGTAGTATTTTTATTGGCTATTACATCAATGCATCAGACATTCAGATCTATATACCAAAGATTAAGCTGATTACAGGCTTAATACATTAAAAAATATTAAAATATCAATAAAAATTACAACACAGAGAATAAATTGGGTGTAAAGTGAGAAATGTGCTCTTACTATAGTATAAGAGCACAACCATCAAGATGTTCAAACTTTCTGCACTACAAGGGTAACTACAACCATTTTTAGTTTGAATCAAGGCATGCTTCAGCTAACAGCAATCTAACATTCTATCCATATAAATGGTATCTTTCGTCCTATCCCCAATGTAGTTGGAAGAAGGTGGTGATGACTATGATGAAGCAGAATATAAAACAAAATCTCTAAGATGTGTCTGTGATCTCTTTATTAATGAGAGCAACTACTAACAAATAAGACACCTGAACATGCATCACAAAAATAATTAATGAGATCGCTAACTTTCACCCGTCTTGTTATTTACCCCATCCATGTAGGCCCCTGGGAGGAGCCGTGAGGCCACGCACCGATCATAACATAAATAATGGGATGAGAGGAGAAACTTAAATCCCCGCGCTTGGGTTGTCTGAACCAGCTGCCACAACACCCATACCACCACTACCGACTGCTGTTTTTGTGATTGCAACTTGGTCACTATCAAGCTCATTCACAAGTTCGTCGATTTTCCGGAACTGGTAAGGCCACTTCACATTATACAAAAACTGTCGAAGATCAAACCTGTTGTCCTCTGGCGAGTAACTCTACACAACACACACAAAAAAGCGGGTTTGACCGTGGCTGAGGATAAAGTAAAGGCAGATAGAACAAATATGGTAAATACACTATATATATCCTCTGAGCATTTCTTTTGGAACAATTCTACACAAAAAAAAATGTAAATTTTAAGGAAAAAGGTAAATCAGACCGTCACAAAACGAGTTAAATAATATATTTACATTCACCTTTTTTCTATAATAAGATTAAAACTTGTTTTGTTGACATCATATAACTATATCAAAATTATTTAACTACTTTTAGGCAAAGGCATATGTGTTCCATGTTTACACTTTTGTGTTTAATTGTTCCATAAAAGAATTGTCTATTTTTTTAGGATCAAGTCTAGGTAAATTTGTTACTAGTTCCCAAACTCAATAATGTTCCAAATTGAGCTCTAAAGAAGAAGAATGAGTACCTCGGCATGATATGAAGGTGTTAACACAGTCATCTTGTGTCTGTTAACGGCATAGTACTTGAAGAAGTACTTCACTTTATCGCCCACCTCCTTTGGAGACAACACCGTACCCCATTTATAGCAGAGGTTCTACAAAGCCAAGTTTAATGTTTTATGCAATATAGGACCCCAGAATACATAATATTTCATGTGCTGGGGGACAAACCTTAAACATTGATACAGGTCCACACCGGAAAATCTTACGCATTCTTCCATAAACTGAGAGTTCTTCATATGTCATTCCCATGTCCACTTCATCTAGCTGCTTCACAAAAATAGAGAGCATGGACGTTCATACTTAAGAATAGAAATAAGTAGATAATGAAAGACGCGTATGGAACAGTGAAAGAATACACGAACGCACAAAAAGTGAGACCTGACTATAGTTAGAGCGTATAGGCTCCAATTCAGCAGTGGGAGGAGCTGCTTCAATATCTACCAAGGATGAGTATCCAAGATGAATGGCTGCCCATCTCAGAAATGTTCGAAGATCCATCTTGCTAATACTTCCGATTGGATTTATATCAGCTGAACTGCAATCATACTGCAACATGCAAACAGTAATAATAATAATAAAAAATAAGTATATGTTACGTATATATTACTTCCAACATTTAATCGCATGTTACTCGTATATATTCTGTATATAGTTTTAACAGGGGATAATATAGATGATGATGATGATGATGGTCATATAATATTACTATTAATAACAATAACAATATTAATAATACTAACAATAACAAAACATAATAATAATACTCCCTCCGTATTCTATTGTTTGCTACAATAGGGTTTGACACTTCATTTAAGGGAAAAGTAGTAGGGGTAATGAATAGTGTAGAAAAAGTATGAGAGGGGGTGGAAGAGTATGAAAAAGAAGATGAAAAAAGTAGAAAAAGTAAGGATAATTGAGTATTTTAAAGGGAAAACTTACCAAAAACGGAAAGTGTAGCAAGAATTACAATACATCCCAAAAAGGAAAGTGTAGCAAACAAAAGAATACGCATACGCAGGGAGTAATTGTAATAATTATAATGATACACATGCGCGACGAATATCTCCACTCTACCTCCCCAAAAATTGTTGACTGACCTTTGTTAGATAGCCACGCAATGCTTCATCTACATTGGAGCTACCTAATACCAAATAAAATCCTGGTTTATTATGAACCCATGGCAAGAGTGATGCAAGCATGAATGCTAAGACCATTCTGACTCGAGCTTGAATATTTTGCAGGCCCAAGTTTTCAATGCTAGATCCCCCATCTACCTAGAAGGGAAGAATCAATAGCTGGTCAATACTGACCCTATATATGGGCCAAAATGTGATCGTTGTTATGATTTCACAAGTCCATTTATACACAACAACAAAAAAGTGCAACGTCAAATATTATTATACCTTGTAGTGTGGACGCTTCCCTGTAAGTGTATAGAACAAAGAGATCAGAGAAGAAACTACTCCATCTATGCTAACATTTAGATGCCATGATCCGATTTCATCTGCCAAAAGCTTTGCCCGTGATGCCGTGGCTTCAGAACTATTATTAATCATAACATATTACCACCAATATGCGGAGTGTTTAAAGAATGAATTCCAATTTTTTTATTACAAAAACAAAACAGAAGATGGAAGGATCTTTGATATTTTGCTTTCATTTTCCACAAACGTAACTGAATTTTTCTGAAGGTTGCAGAAAGAAAAATTGATCAGGTCCTTTGTTATTATTATTTTTTCTGAAGGTTGCAAATATTATTATTTTTTCCTGAGATTGTACCACAAAGCAAAACCAATTGTAAACTAATTCACAGTTCAATAGGATTTTGCAAGAAACAGAAAATGATCAAACTTTCATACAATTTCCCATCTTGTTATATTTTGTACTACGTACAAATTGAGTTCACTTAGTTGTAAATTTTTGTGGTAACATTCAGAGTTACACATCAAGGTGAGCTCCAAAGGCACCCTACTACTATTCTTAAGAACACACCTATTTTCAGACCCCATGAAAACCGTATAAAATATACGCTTAGCAAATTCTTTGCTATCTATTGGGAACTGTCCATCAGTGTACTGGCCAATTCGCATCGCATCAGCCTTGACCTGTTCATCCCCATTTGCAATTTCTGCATCCCACAAGCATTTCTCTTATTAAGTATTCTGTAACAACTACTATGAAAGCATGTATGAAATTTCATGATAGCTAGATTGTCCAGGTACACTTGAAAACAACCTTCTAAAAAAAATTAGTCAGTTATACTTTTTTAATAAAACAGGAATGAGTAATAAAATTCAAAAGGATTTTTAATTAGACCGCAAAATATTCATGTTTGGGTGAGGCAGGAGATTAAAGTACCTTTAACTACAAGCTGGCACATCGAACCAACTATAGCTGCAACAGAGGAACTATCAGCACCACCTGAAAGTGGGAGTAAAAAACCAGACGCGCCACTTCTTCTTAAATAATCCCATAACCAGCAAGCAGGCCCAAGTGCTATTTCCTCCTCAGGAGAGTGATACCTAGTCTACAAACATAAACCAAGACTTACTAGTGAGGGACGATACTAAAACAAGGTAGATGAGCAGGTTGTAGCACAAGCTAATCAGCTGAGACAACCACTTGAGTTGTCAGACATATATGAAACATTACAAGGGAAAGAAATGAAATAAATTTATAAAAGAAAAGTAATAGGACATAATACCTCAAGAGGACTAGAAAGTGACCTTTGGAGATTGAAGGACTTGCAAAGTTTGTATGGAATGCCCACTGCAGAAACTTTAGATTTCGAACTAGCTTGCTCTTGGAAACTACTGGTAGATGTCCTAAGACTAGCAACCTAGCATATAAGCAGCAGAAAAAACTGGTAAACAATTAGCTGACAAGCAACAACAAATTATAACATATTGATAAACAACAGCTAAACATGTATTCCTACTGCAATATATATGCAGAAGCAGACAAGTAATGCAATCCACCTGTGACAACAACAAAAACAAATAGATTTTCTTTAATTTAAAAATTGAAATCCAGTAAGCAACAAAGGGCAATTTTGTGCAGTGTTTTTCTAAGTTGTACATTAATGTTGTGTTTATAGCTACCTATGAGCAAGTACGAGTGTGTGATAATCATACTAACTCAGAGCAACTAGATCGGTGACTTTACGGTCTAACTACAATGTGGAAAATGAGGTTCATATTTCACAGTGAATTAATATTCACGGAATCATATCTAGTTTCAGGGTTAATTACTGATAGAACTAACCAATTTTACAGAAAATTCACAAAGAAATATCAAGAACAAGAACTGCAAACTTTATTGAAGAAAGACGGTAACAATGGCCGAAGCCCCCAAAAGAAAGAGACAACCAATCTCTAACTTTCCCAGTCCAGACTACTATAGTCAAACAGCCTGCTCCTATCTCTCAGCTTTATTCTATTTACAGTATTACAACTCAAGTACTCAACCGACTTTAGTTAATAGCTACTAACAGAAAACAACTAATAACAAACTATTCTATTTATTTCTTCTAGTATCTATCCTTATTACTAAAAGTAATCATATCCCTATCAATACTCCCCCCCTAAACATCCACCTTGCCCTCAAGGTGGGTGATAGGAAACAGCCAAGTTCTTCTTCTCCCTCTTCATCCTGGTGCTTCTACCTTCCCAATATCTCACTGGTTTCTGAGCCATGAACTTCCCTACTTGACCTATCCTCCTCACTTCTTCTAGCAAAGGCATCAATAGATTCTTTACCTTCAAAGCATCCTTACCACTTGGGTTATTTTTTAATTCTGGAACTGGGCTTTACTAATCACCAACTGCTCCATGTTTCCTTTGTTAATAGCTTTAACTACCAGATATAACTCAAATCCTTGAATTTCAGTTGATTCATTCCTTGAAATTTTAACCTCTGTCATGTATTTCTGGGGACTGTATGGTCTGATTTGGTTATGCTGTCTCCCTCTGTGATATTTATTGCATGATCACATGGTCCTTCAGGAAGCAGATCTAGAGTTGATTTTAAGATTTCAGGAAATTCTTCCACCATTGCATGATCACTGGGTCCTTCACAGCATTGCAAGTATCCATCCCCTTTCTTCTGTAGCATGTTAGTGACAGTTTTCAATGGAACATCCATCTGATTTAGGGCAGTTTCTCCTTGGATAATATAATTCTGCTCTTGTTTTTTCCATTTTAAAGTCTGGTTCTGAAAGTTAACCTCCATATCTCCTAGGCCAGTTAACCACTCCAATCCCAGCATCACATCAATTCCACCCAAGTCCAGAATGTAGAATTTCTGCAGAATGTCAATTCCTTGTATATTCAATGTTACTCCTTCACATCTGCCATGGTTGGGAAGAAATTCTCCAGTCCCTATCTGCACTTCATAACCCTTAATACAACTAAATGGTATCTTCCATTTATCCACAACATTCTGTGATATGAAGTTGTGGGTAGCTCCACAATCAACCAAAATATTCACCTTCTTTTCCTCAGTCAGCCATTTCAGCTAGGATGCACGGAAACGGCAGTAGCCCTCATGTTTCCGTCCCGGAAACGTTTCGGAAACGCGAAACACGCAGAAACGCCGGGAAACGGCCGGGAAACGCCGAGAAACGTTTCTGAACACTTGAACTTTTGGTCCGGCTCGGGGAAACGTATAGGAAACGGGAATTCAAGTGGGCTGCGGCGTTTCTGATTAGTTTTCTAAAAAGAAGTCGGTCAATTTGGAGCTGGGCCTAATCCTCGTTATTTTTTTTTATTAAAACTAACCTGCGAGGCTGAGACTCTAGCATCCATCACTTGGCGTCAACGGCAATTAAGGGTTTTACCGCAGCAATAAGCGACGCTAGTGAGTGGTGACGACGGGAGACGGTGACCTTGGCTAAAGTTGGTGACCGGCGAAAGTTTCAGAGTCTGAAATTCAGAATATTTGGTGACCGGCAAAAGTTTCTTACCGTGTGCTGAAGTCGCTGCAGTCTGGACGAGTGGCTTGAACTGTTTAAGGGGACTGTTTAAGGGGACCAAACTCTGCAGCCTTTCCACTAGCTACAGAAACTAATCTAACATAAATAAGTTTTACAGGACTTGGCTATTGCGCATTTGGGTATTTGCCTAGGGGAAATTTCAGAATTTCAAATTCTTTAATTTGTGGGAAATAATCTAACATAAATAAGTTTTACAGGACTTAGCTACCGAATGAAACATTTGCTTTTTCCTTTTATTTATTATGCATGTATGATGCATTATAATAAAGCCATATGTTTTGTTTAATTATTTCATACTTGTTGGACACTTGGACGTAAACATTATTTATACTAGTAAAATTTTAATTTTTAGTTCGACGTTTCCTTGCCGTACCCGTATCTTGATATTTTGAGTTTAGAGTTTCCCCGTCCCCGTTTCCGTCCCCGTTTCCGTTTCCGTCCCGGTGCTACTTAGCATTTCAGATTCCCCAGGACTTTGAATGTTCTCATGAATGGTATTCCTTCCTTGCTCAATACAGATAATTGCATAGTCCTAGCTTCCATATGTATTCCTTCTTCTTTATCTTTATTATAGTCAACATCAGATTCCTCCTCCCCTTCAGATTGTTCCACCAGCATCATTTTAAAAAAAATCATACTGCAAATGTGACCCCTATTCCAGTTCTCACCACATTTAAAACATAACCCTTTTTTACTTCTTTCTAGTAGTTCTACTTGTGATAGCCTGGAACCATTTCTTTTCAGATTCTGATCTTTCACTCCATTATTGATCTTGCTGTCAATTGAGTTCTTCACAGATGGATTTGTAGAATTCATGCTATAGCTTATTCTACTACCTCCCCCCATTTGTTGTAGCTCTGTCCTCTAGTCATGTTATTCTTCCAGATTTTCTTCCCTTCATCCTTGTTTCTCCGTGACAAAGCTTCATCATTTTTATGTTCAATTAATAGTGTTGTGTCCATGATATCAGCCAAATCTCTCGCATGATAGAGCTTTAACTCAGCTCTAATATCTTTCTTCAATCCATTCAAGAAAATACCCTTAGTTACCTTCCTGCTCAAATCACCTTGAGAAGCCACTGCTATCTCGAACTGTTCTCTGTATTCTTTCACCGTTCCCTTCTGTTTGAGACCTAATAAGGGGCCCAATGGATTCTGAACCAATTCCAGTTGGAATCAACGAGTTAAAGCTTCCTGTAAGGTTCCCCAGTTCCTCTCATGTGTTTGGTTCTCCCATCCTTTTCCTTGGAACCAGATCAATGCTTTGTCCTCCATAGCTACTACCGCTATATTGACCTTATTGTCCTCCTCGATATGGTTAAGTCTAAAGTAGCGGTCGATTCTTATCAACCAGCCATACGCATCTTCACCGTTGAATAGTGGCAGATCAATTTTTCTTCCATTTCGGTGGTGGTGACCTTGTTCCCTGTGACGATGGGTCATGGCGATGCGGTGGTGAAAAATTATCATTTCCTTCCGAATCATCAGAACTCTCTGATTGTCGCGAATGGTGCTGGTGAGAAGTACGATGCGAAGTACTTGATCGATGCGGAGTACTTGATCGATGCGAATGACTCCTCGATCAACCTGAAATTTTGTTCTGCAAATCTGCGATATTAGCTTGCATCGTTGCTTGCATAGCCGCTTGCATCGCGGCCATACTTTCTGCCAGATTCGCCGCCATATTATCTTGCATCTCTTTCAGATTTCTTTCCATACTTGCTTGCATCTCCCGTTGACTCCTTTCCATTTCCGTCAGTTGACTTTCCATTTTCACGCACGTTACGGTCATCCAGCGATCAAACGCGCTCTGATACCACTGATAGAACTAACCAATTTTACAGAAAATTCACAAAGAAATATCAAGAACAAGAACTGCAAACTTTATTGAAGAAAGACAGTAACAATGGCCAAAGCCCCCAAAAGAAAGAGACAACTAATCTCTAACTTTCCCAGTCCAGACTACTATAGTCAAACAGCCTGCTCTTATCTCTCAGCTTTATTCTATTTATAGTATTACAACTCAACCGACTTTAGTTAATAGCTACTAACAGAAAACAACTAATAACAAACTATTCTATTTGTTTCTTCTAGTATCTATCCTTATTACTAAAAGTAATCATATCCCTATCAATTACATGAGACTCCCTCCTGAAGTCCAATTATTGCACCCCCACTTTTGTTTCAATTTGCATTCTCTCATTCATTCCATTATCGCTACTTGAATGCACTGTCCAAGAATTTTGTCAACTAAAAATTTGAAGCGTACCGCATCTAAATCAATTTCAGCAAACACCATTTCAACATCCTTCAGAGAGAACTGTGAGCCTTGAGCTACCATATCTCCGTTCACAACAACACAAGAACATCCATCTGCAGAACAGAAAATAAGCAACTATAACATTTTTTTCCTAATTCCTTAATTCAATTGTTATGTACCAAATTCTAGAGTGAGTAAATAATTCTTCAGATTATTTTATCCAATATGTGATGAGGGTTCATGTGGCTACCAAAATAAAGTCGACCACCATCACATCCTTGTTGATTGCTGTACATGTAAACCCCTCCACGTGTGTGAGTGGCACTTACAAAAGCTCGCATGCGAAGATCCAGCTTTCTTAGCTGATGATGACTTCCACTTGCATTCATAAATACTTCAACTCCATTCAGTGCAAGTTCAGCATGAGGTGGTGAAGGTACAAAGAGTTCCTCACAAACTTCAGCTGCAACAGCTCTGAGGGAAGCATTTAATACATCACAGTAGAATCTCAAATAGTTATACAAGTATGCATCTCTTAACCAAATGCTTCATGTTGAATTACATAAAAGAATGATGCTTCTGAAAATTGTGCAATGCTTAGGTAAACATTACTACAGTAGTACACACTTGAGGGCTTTTAAGCAAAATTTACAAATATGAAACAAGAACAAAAGGGATATAGATATATTTGTTTCTATGTGCAAAGCAAATTACGCAAAAAGTGACAAGGATGAAGCAAAATTAGTTTTTACTATCCAACATGAAATTCAACTCTTATAGATCAATTCATAAAATGATGAAGTTAGTGGGATCATTTAGCAGTAATGAAACAAGACAATTGTTAGTAAAATAAGACAACTGTCAACTCAATCATTGTCATAACATAGGTCATACTTTTCCCCGTAACTCCATAAGAAATATTCTTACATGCATTTTCAACATACAAAAATCTCCATAACTTATTTCTTCATAAATAAGTCTATAAGAAGCTGGAACATTTTCCTTGAAAAGAATACAATGTTATTTACTGAGTCCTGACATAACACATTATCCATGCTCTCATCATGGATCTTGAAACTTGATATCTTGAATTATCACTAGACATTTTCTTCACACGAAAAAAAGTACCCCAACCAGAAAGAAAGAGTCATGTTTGGCCGAAGACCAAAGTACAATTTTTTAGGGAAAAGTACGGAAAAGGTACTTGTGGTTGAGCCCGTTTTCAGATAAGGTCATGTGTTTCATTCTTTATCAAAGTGGTTCATGTGTTTGAATTCCGTTACCACAAGAGGGTCACACCGTTAAAAACATCTTAAAAAGACCGTTAAAGGTAACTCCGATTTTCAAAAGTGCCCGAAAAATTAAAAGAAAAATACCGGAAGGTGCACCTCAATAAGACGACCGCTAGGCCATCTTTCCTTTTTGTTTTCAGCCACTCTTGTCACCGGAAAGTCCATCGGAAAAGTGATATTAGCGAAATTATTTTTTAAAAATAATTCAAACAGAACTGAAAAATCCAAAGGCAAAGGTGGTTTGGATGTCATCTTGACGAGGCGCATCTTTCGGTATTTTTCTTTTAATTTTTCAAGCACTTTTGAAAACCAGAGTTAATTTTAACGGTCTTTCTCAGACGTTTTTAACGGCGTGACCCTCTTGTGATAACGGAATTCAAACACATGAACTACTTTGATAAAGAAAGAAACACATGACCTTATCTGAAAACGGGCCCAACCACAAGTATCTTTTCCGTACTTTTCCCATTTTTTTATTTAGATAAAAGTACTTTTTATAAGTCAACAATGCTATAATTACATTTTTTATTTCTCTTTTAAACTTAATTTATGGTTTTTAACCATTCCAAAAAAAATTGGGTGGGAAACTCTATTTTGTTGAAACATGACCTTTTTATCGCAGCTATTTAAATATGTTATCAGACGGAGGAATTACTAATATCAGTGTTATTTAAACATGACATTTCTATCTATACATCTAATATCAGTGTACAGAAAGTCAGAAATTTAGAAGGGATAAGAATAGCGACTTACGTGTCTGAAAACTGAAGATATCCATAGCCAAATGGAACAATTGACTGAGACAAAGCTTCAGAAACATCACTTGGGAGCTGAAAATCCTCAACATCTCTGTGCTTCCAAGCTGTAAACCATCGAAGTTCCCTATAGTTTCCATCATTTGCTAGCCACATTTTGGGCCGAATCATTAATATCTTCCTGTTAAGACACAATATTTGACAGTTGTAGCGCTCTGATCCTTTAACAACTGGCATTCCAAAACTGCATAATATGTTATCTGTCCAATCACCTAGCAGCAATTCTTTTAAGCAATCCCACCTGCAAGTTTAGGGTTGAAAACATATCACACTATGCATATTACTTTGCCTTAGATAACATCAAAGCAGCTTACGCATTAGAGATGGTGTCAAGCTCAAAGAAGTGATCCTCGCATCCATATCCAGTGATTTCAAGCTCAGGGCCGAGCCTGATCATAGCTCCTGCCACTTTTGCCCTAGAAATGGAATCCTTTATGTTCTTCATGTTGCAATCAAAATCCATGGCCCATTGGTTAAGATTACACGTAGCCACTTTCAGTAATCTCATTTTATTCTTCTCTTCAGTTTAAATAGAGCAGCAATTATTTAAGTTTCTGAATACAAACTCAGCTTATCAAACCAGAACCGCATGTGCATGCACACAAAAATGGACCTTTGACTTTAGGTATGTACTCAAAAGCAGGCCCAGAGAGTTCATCTGATCCGGTCTTAGCTTGGGGATTACGGCCCCCTATCTATGCATCGCGGCTAAATCTACAAATTAGTAAAGAAATTGATGATAAAATATATACATCATTAAAATCGCTACAAAGGCAACTTTTAGTATTTACAAGTGGAATACTATGCTAAACGTTCATAAGATTATACATACCCTACACTTGTATTTTCTAGGTTTTATACATCAAAAGTGAATTAGTGTAAAGCCATGACTAATAGTACTAATAAATCTCGTCCTGCATATGCTACCAAACAATCACTTAACAATTGGTATCAAATTTAAAACATCATTTTGCAGCTAATTCTTAACTAACTTCCTAGCTTGTGTGTTCAATACTGGCTGTTGCTAACACTGAATATAAAGCTAACTTTATATTAACAACATTTTAACACTACTCGATTACCGACTCAAATAAACAATCGTTCAGTAAGCAAATCGAGAATCATTGTTGGGGAAGAAACAGATAAGAAAAATAATACATAAGTAAAATAAAAATGAATTTTCCGAATGGAAAAAGTAGCAAATTGTATAGTAACTCACTAAATATATATATATATAAATTGTGTTTTACCACATAATTTAAGTTGTATTTGATCAGTGTATGTAACTATGTATCACATAAAAAATTCTAATACTATGTTGGTGTGCCCCCCAATCAAGAGCATAGTCAGGACCGGGGTTTAAGGGGCGGTTGAAAACTAAAAACACTACAACAACAACAACCAAGCCTTAGTCCCAAAAGATTTTGGGTCAGCTGTTACTAAAAACACTGTGTAAAAAATTTAAACGGCCAAACAGTTCAAACAAAATGATAAAAGTTTATTAAAATTCATAACAATATGTTTAAGAAGTACATACAATATATCAGATCCAGAACTCACTAAAGCCAAAACACAAAAAGAATGCACAACGTCAGTGAAGAGAAAACACAGAAAACAATATGTCTTATGCGTTGTTGGAGAGTATTCCAAGTTTCCAACCCATTAAAGTCATTGAACCAAGCAGGTTGAAAACGGCGTATGTTTTCTTTACATTCTCGGCCTTTTTCAAAATTGAGTTTCGGTTGATAAGGTCCAAGTATCAAATAAGATCGTCTGACTTCATCGTTTTCTCTAACTCAATTTCAAGCGCATCATAAATTAATTCCTCTTAAACGGGTGAAATATTTGGAGTTTCATATAGTCAATGACTTAAGTAGATTGTCTTCTAGAAGTCATTGGGTAGCCATACCTACTTATATTGACAAAAATTAAAAAAAAAATAATCAATATATTATTTTCAATAACATAATTGATATTAATATGTTAAGAAATTCACAATCCTATTATTCAATTTCACAAAGGAAATAATGACAGAAATTATTAACCGAATTATTCAACAATTATAGAACAAATTCACATTTTACATTCTTAAGAATTCATATTCGTAAAACAATTAATCACTAAAACATTCAAACACTCAAATAGAACATTCAAGAATCAAGATTTCAAGCAATTAGCTACTTAAATTTAAAAAAAAAAACAATAAACACTTATGACTTACCTGCTGGGGCGATTAGCAGAAGGCAGCCAGAGGCCCAGAACTCCCAGAGGCTGAGAAGTGGAGATGCAGAAAGTCAGACAGAGGCGTCGGGAGGCGGGGGGCTGCGGCGGTGCGGGGCTGCGGGCGTCTGGGCCGCTGAGCGTCTCTAGCTCTGGCGACTCTGCGACCTTGCGACTCGCCGAACAGGAATTGTTCAATGGGCTGGCATGGGCCGGACTATTTTTTCATTGAGCCCGTTAACTTTTTGTACGGAGAAAATGGCATGTTTAGCTAGGGGTGGACATTCGGTCGGTCGGTCAAATAATCAACCGATAACCGAATAACCGATCAAATTTTTTCACTCTATTAATCGATCGAAATCGACTGATAACATCAAAATAACCGACTGAAAAACCGTAGTTTGATTTCGTTCGGTAACCGATTAATCGACAATAACCGACCATATAAGTTTTTTAAGCATATTTTTTTCAAAAATTTGAATGCTTTAAATAAACATATTAGAAAAAATATTTGTTACAAAAATGGATGAAAATAATCGGCACTGGGGAAGCCGGTCTTGAGATAGATAATCACGCTGAGGCCAAGGGGCTATTCGTGATGTATGAACGACGATGATGAGGAGTCGGTCCAATAAATGACGACAAGGCGATGCTGGAGTCGATCGTCGTATAAAGGGGATGGTCCCCATCCTGGAAGGGATGGAGAGCCCGATTGCTGGCTCAAGACTTCGGCGTTGAGGAAGCCGGTCTTGAGATAGATCATCACGCTGAGGCCGAGGGGGCGTTCGTGATGTATGGACGGCGATGATGAGAAGCTGGTCCGATAATATGATGACGAGGCGATGATGAAGCCGATCGTCATAAAGGCGACAGACGCTTATGTAGTCGGCCATTGTATGAAGGGCCAAGCTTTGAAGTCGGCTTGAAGATGAAGGGCGACATTAGGGACGCTCGTCCTTTGATGAAGGACTGGGCGTTGGCGCCCGCCTGAAGATGAAGTGCGACGTTGGACGCTCGTCCCTTGATGATGAGGGCGCTGATGAGGCCGTCTGAAAATGAAGGACGACGCTGTTGAAGTCGGTCCTTTGCTTAAGGACATGGCATTGGTGACGTTCATCCTTTGCTGAAGGACAAGGCGTTCGCGTCCGTCTAAAGATGAAGGGCGGCGCTGATGAAGCCGGTCCTTTGCTTAAGGACTTCGGCATTGGCGCTTGCCTGAAGATGAAGGACGGCGCTGGTGACGATGGTCCTTTGCTGGAGGACATAGCGTTGGTGACGCTCGTCCCCTGATGAAGGACAAGGCGTTGGCGTCCGTCTGATCTGAATGCATGGTCTTGCTTCTTCCATAATGCATAGTATTTGCCTGATATGTACTTAGCCAAATATGTGGCTTGATTTGTGGGGATTTCGCTTGAGGTCGGCGAGTGCACGGTCCTTCGGTTGTCCCTCTTTTATTTGTGGGGATTTCGCTCGAGGGCGGAAAGTGCACGGTCCTTCAGCTTTCCCTCTTTTCTTTGTGGGGATTTCGCTCGAGGCCGACGAGTGCACGGTCCTTCGGCTTTCCCTCTTTTATTTCTTCCTCTTTACTTCTTTGAGAGGAGTGGGGGATCCTTCTTTAAGGCTCGACCGATGGGGTTGTTATTCCCTCGACCGATAGGGAGTCCAGGAGGGCAGCTGTTAGCCCTCTGGCGCTGGATTATCCCTTAATCATGGGGAGGGGGCGTCTATTTATGGCGCGGGCTCAGGCTTTTGGTCGGCTACCGACGGCTGCCGTTTCCCAACCCCAAGTGTGAGGATTTTGTCACCTCAGCCATTCTTTCAGGTCTGTCGCCCTACGATTTAGTGCGAGGACAACGCGGTGAGCTTCCCGTCTCAAGATGTGGGCCATTTTGCGGGCCCCTCGTCCTAGGACATCGTCGGCCATACCTGAGCGTTTCGATCTAAGGGGTCGATACGATGTGCTTTGTTGTGTGGCATTCTTTACTTAAATTTACAAAAAATAAGCGGAAGACAACTTTTATTAAGATCAGTGGTGTGAGGCCGAGGGTGGTAATCATATCAACAACCCGTTTAGGAGTTAGCTTCTCGGTGAGCTTCTGACCTTGGGATGTGGGCTTTGCTGGCCGCACCTGTAACACCGACCCCGAGCATATTTACTTTTAGTAAATTATGTAATAAACCTTGAAAGATGATTTATGAATTTGCGTAATTGTAAATTTTTATTATTTCTTTTACGTGAATAGTAAATTGCATGTGGGGCCCACAGCGGGAACGGGGACCGCCCGATAATTCCCGAACCACATATTATATTCATCTTGGGTTAGATAATATATATATAGTGGTGGATATTTTATTTGGGCCATAAGAAAGGCATGGAGTTGACCGGTCGGTCAAACGGGGCCCAATTACCGGTATCGGTAATTGAGCGGATAACAGCCCGGAATGAGTTTCGGAGGCTCCAAAATTAATGTTGGGGAATGAACATCTATTCTAATGGCCCATAATTATTGGGAACACGTGATATATTTTATTTGGTCCGATAAAATAAAAAAATGACTAAAGCAGTCCGAGAAATACAACTTTCGGGGCCAATTATACACACCGGGACGTAATGGGATGACCTCCCACATGAGTGGGGGCCACCCCACGATTTTGTGTGATCTAATTGACACATTGGGAGCTGAGTGAGTCAAATAAACATGGGCTGTGCATGAAGGGATGGCTGGAGACAACCAACCACTCCCTTGGCCATACCTCTTCATTGTTTTTGGCTTGGATGAGGATAGATACCTCCCCCCTTCCATTTGACACCATTCACTCGACCAAAGCAGAGAGATAAGCTCCAGAGAAGTCTCCTCTCCTAGTGCAAGCAGCAAGGAAGAGAATCCAAGGAGAAGAAGGTTGTTCTTGAGGTAAGAACTCAACAAACAATCTTGTAACTAGTTTTTTTGGTGTATGATTTTTGAGAAATCATATGGTGGATTAAACCATGAGTTCTACACGTCTAAAAGTGTAGAATATTGTTATAAAGTGGTGTTAATTAACTTAGAAGAGTTGGTGAATCGATAGGAGTCGAAATCGCCGGAAACCGCCACATATAGGGAGCTGTTCGTAGTTGCAGACTACGAAAGCCGCCCGGCTTTCGTGAAAGCCGCCCGGATTTGGCCCAGAAATCCAGCTCTTCACTTTCAATCGGCCTAGAACGGGGATTGATCGAGGGGCTTAACAAAGGCAACTATTGTAGCACATCACGAGGTGAGGATGGCTGACTATATTGCTTATAATTAGTGAGTTAATTTCGTAAGAATGCCTAAAGTAATTAGATGGGATTTTCATGGACTATTAAAGATTAATAAATGTCTAAATGAAAATAATATGTATATGAGTAAGTGAAGCATGATATACAAATTTAGGATAATTGTGTATGATTATGTGAAATGAATGGAATGACATGTTAATGGAATTACTAAGATGACATGGTGATAAAATATACTTTACTTCATGTATGAGATTCATGAATGGATTAAAGTGATATTTTTTATATTGAGATTAAACTATACTTGGATTGAGAAATCAATGGAAATGAAATGCAATATGGGAAATAGGAACTTGGCATGTTCTAAGGTTATCCAATTAGTATCAAAATACTAGTTGGGGAATTAACATAAATAAATGATGAAATAAATCCTAAGAGGTAGGATTGTGAATAGATATGCCTTAAGTAGTCTCAAGAGATACTTAAGGATGAATGGTATGAACACTAAGGAGTGATTAGGGGTAGGCCTAAAGGCCACCTCCGGAAATTTATTCTAGGCATAAGACTTGCTTGAGAATTTGATTATGAAAATAAATAGAGTTGGACTCTAGGATGACATGGAGATGTAGTTGGGCCGAGCCCATGCCATGTAATATGATTAGCATGGAAACGTAGTTGGGCCGAGCCCTTGCCATGTATATGTGACCTCCGTGGAAACGTAGTTGGGCCGAGCCCTTGCCACGAAGTTATGGTTGGTATGGAAACGTAGTTGGGCCGAGCCCTTGCTATACAAATGTTGAGATGATACATCGAGTTAGAGGATTGTATAGAGATGTAGTTGGGCCGAGCCCATGTTATACAATTGGGGCTCGACGGGACCCCACGGGGTTATCGTGACTCGCGGTCACGGGGGAACGGGAATGGTGAATTCTAAATGAATATGGGCCTACGGGCCGTCTACTTGACTTTATGTAAAGGAAGTACAGTGAAAGGTAAAAAGGGGTAACCGAGGGTTATGGCCTATAATATAATAGTACCCTAAGACGGGGGTCTTGGAAATTAAAACGTTGATTATACTTAGTATAGTTGCTATTGTACTTGTCAAATATTTCCAAGTACTGACCTCCCCTTCACGGGGGAGGCCACCTCACAGTTTCAGGTAGGACTTGAAGGTTGCTACCGGCGCCCGTTGCTTCAGGGATTTCCAAGGGAGAAGACGTGGTTCGTGCTTCTTCTGTTTCCTGTTTTCAAAACAATTATAACAATGCTCATGGATACTATTTTTGAATAACTATTTGGGGGCTTGTATGCCCGTGTTTGCCAAAGTGTGGCCAAGACATCTTTATTAAATGCTTCCGCTGTTTTAAATGAATGATTTACATTATGCTTGTTTATGGATGTACTATGTGTGAATGGTATTCAAGACGCCTTGTATAGTATGGATGAGTTGGACTGCGGTTGACTATTCGTACTGTACGGCGGGTTGTTGACGTGTCCGGGTAGGTCCGGGGCGTGACAATTTAATTGGTATCAGAGCCTTAGTCCGTAAACGTCATAATGAAGCTTCAAAATGCTTTTTGAAAATGAAAGTGAAAACCATGAGCATAAAGTTTTGTACTTATAGAACTTTTGGTACTTGAGTTGCAATGTCTCTAATTGTTAAGATGGTACCCTTAGCAATTGGTATGGCGGTGATTTGAGCCAAAGGATGTCTTTAAGTACCTATCAGTCAATTGACATTTGATACGAGTCTAATGACTCATTCTCAATTTCTTTCAGAAATGGAAGGTACCGGGAAAGTGACTAGAAGAAACCCGACTGGCCGAGCACCGGGAGGATCCGTGCAAGGCAGTAGAGGGGATTCTAGAGTGTCCCGAGGACAGGGCCGTGGAGGCCGAGATCGGACCGTGAGTGACAGTTATGTGAAAACAGTCAACGAGAACG